GTTTTTTGGTCATTTTTTCTCCTTTTTTCGAAATTAAAAAAAAAGACCACACCCAAAATTTTTACCCCAAAAAAGACCATGAAAAAGAAAATCAATTTGGGTGAATCATGAAAAAAAGGTTAACAAAAAAAAACAACAAAACCGGCCGACCCGTTTGCAACTATGCTTTTCTCTTACATAGCTCCCATTTTTCGTACCAGAATAAAACCTAGTTATAATGTGAAATTGACGAACTTTCGTATTTTGCTCAGAAACTCTGTTATGTTCATTTTGCTCAGAAAAAATATCCCGAAAATTCAAGTTTTATATCGAATTCACAAAACCGAGAAAGTTCAAATGCTGAGGAACTCACTGTTTGTATTGCTAACCCTTATTGGTGTCGAAATTGTCATTTCATCTTTGTCTCTCGTCAGTTCTTTTTATTTCTCTGTCCGCTGGGCGTCTTATTTTTCATCGGATTTCCATCACCTTTGTTTTTTACTTTGAATACTCGAAAATGAGACTCGAATTTCGAATTCAATTTAAAAGTTCCGTTTTGAAGATTTTTGAAAAAAAAAATATCATAGTTTCCGTTTTTTACTTTTAATTTTTTATAAGATAAATACATCTGTATTTTCAGGATGGCATCACCCGCCTCCCAACCAAAACTCACTTATCCAATCATAACAACGGATGGTGAGAAATACACATTATTCAACGATGAAGCAATCGGAAAAGGAGCCTATTCTGAAGTCTATCGTGGAAGAACAGAATCAGGACGGCTGGTGGCAGTGAAAACTGCATGTAAACGGGTTGAACTTCAAGCGATACGAGGAGAAATCGAAATACTTCGAAAGTTGAAAGGTGCACAGAATATTGTTGAATACATTGGAAGTTCGCATAGTATTATGGCACCGGGATCAGTGACACCCGAGACTATTTCGTTTGCGATGGAATATGCGAAAAGTAGTTTGGAAGGGGAAATGAGGAGACCCGAGAATCTGAAAGGGCTTCCGGCGAACGTCTTTATTGATTTGGTCGTGGATTGTGGTGAGTTTTTGAAAACCGAAAAGTCTGTATATCTCAGAATCTCTGAATTCAACAATACTCTAAAACTAGAAAAATCTCAAAATCCAATGAACGAAATGTCATAATTTTTCTGTATTCTAAAAATGCCAGTATCTGACAACATCGATTACTCAATTTTTGTTTCGAAAATCTTGGAAGCTGAGGTCTGCGGAACCTCGTTATTTCGAATTCAGACGTTCTTCAAAATGGCCCAATTATGACAAAATTCTGCTATAAATTTCTAGAAATTCCTTGATTTTTCGAACAATTCCGTAAATTCTACTTTTTCAGCAATGGCTCTCACCGCTCTCCATGAGCACAACATTGCTCATCGTGACATCAAACACATGAATATTCTTCTGTTCCCCGGAACACCGACACGTGGCAGACGATCGACCCATTTATTCAAATTATGTGATATGGGATGTAGTAAAGCGTTGATGGAGAATGGCGGTCTGCATGAGATGAGAACGCTGGTGGGCACTCCGAATTTGTTGGTGAGTTTTGTTTGGGTTACGGTAGTTCCTCTTTCGCAGCTCCGATTCGTTGTACCGTAATAAAAAAACTGGGAGTTTTTTGTTTTGAAAAGTTTCCGAAAATTGCAATTTCTGGCTCTAAAAATGACAAGAAAATGCGAAAAATCCGATTTTTTATTTATTTTTAAAATTCAAATTTTCAGCACCCACATCTCGCCAACGAAATGGTGGATCCTCGAATGGATCGAAACCAACACGACTGGAAAACGAAACAAGCCTACACCTCAGAACAATGTGATCTTTGGTCCCTGGGATGTACTCTCTACTTCTGCGCTACTGGAAAATTCCCATTTGAACACGAGAGAAACAACAAGAAATTGTATCATGCGGCTGTGAATTCACTAACTAAGCATCCAAAAGCCATCGCGATGATTCCAGTGGTAAAGGGAAGAGACGCAGGGAGACGAGAGATGATTTATGAGTTTGAACCGGTTACGGAGCTCCCCGCGAAGTTTACAAGATATCCGAAGTGGTTGGTATGCACTGTGACGTCACTTCTGAGGAATTTCTTCCACGATCCTAAAATTGAGTACTATTCAAAAGTGGCCAATGGAATGAGGAATGGAAAACGGCGAACTTTTGTGTCAATTGATCAAATGTGTATTGTGGATCACACTGATATTTCCAACACTCCTATCACTCTTCCCAGCATCTCCAGTTGTCTTGGATACCCACCTGGAACTGACCTACTTCTGGTCTCCAATACTTCATTCAAATACGTGGATTCTAAGGAGACAAGTGTGGATTCTCTTCCGGATGAGACGTATCTAGTTGTTCCGAAAAGAAGCGAAGTGGATTTGAGGAAAATTTTGGCCAGGAATATTGAATATCATGAATTTGATGATATGACTGATCGGAAATTGGCTGAAATTCGAGCGAAAAAATGTTATGATGGATTGAGTATGCTGACAGAAAGCGATGAGTATCGAGATCTATTTGAGAGAGTTTCGACAATTTTGAGCACACAGTTTTCGTTGGTGAGTTGGTTTTTGTTCTGAAGTTCCTAGGTTCCGTCCTCAAGGATTACTGTACACGGTCTCCCACAGAACGTTTCCGAACTGCAAATTAATTATTGATCTACCGAAAAAAAATTTGGCGCGATCACAATTGCAGGCCTAAAGCCGTATTTTCAAGATTTTTTATCTGATTTTGTGAAGATTCTAGATGATTCAAATGATTTTTAAAAAATTAATTAGCGGTTATATAATCCTGTATAGTCCTTTTCCGGAAGAAAATATTCCAAAAATGGCCAATTTTCAAGATTTTTTACAGAAAAAATGTATCTCCTCTTCAGTTTTCAACATTCTGGGAGTTTTATATCTCAAAAGAACCGCGA